TAGTTACCACGTCTTGTGTTTGACCTCCTGATTTCAGACTGCCTCCTCTGCAGGTCACATTTTAGAATTCCTTATAAAAGAGGCCAACTGTTCCAAATCTGCACAAGCAGATCAGATGTTAGAATGTGATGTTCTGGATGAGGGGCATGCTGTAAGTAAAGTCTTAAAATGAGAACTGATACAATGGGTGGCACCAGGACGATCCTCCCACAATATTTTCAAGTGTTTTCTATAAGCATGCACCCAAACTCAAAAATCCAGCATGTCCAAGTCCAGATCCTAATTTTACAGCTGCTCCTTTTTATTCTATAAGGAGCCAATCTGAACTCTCAAATCTAAAGGTAACTGGAGTCTGGCATATTACAGACCTAGAGGTGAACTTTTCAGTTTAGATCTGGCTTTCACATTCAAATTGTGGCCATTCCCCAGTAAATCATTCATGCTATTTTCATAAAAACTTTTATACTAACATGAGTCATAGACCTTGAAGAAAAATATACATATTATCTCATCCCAGTGAGCCCAGGGTTACTTTTTTGCCCTCTGCTACAGGGGAATGGAGAGTGGAAGAATTCAGGTTTGTTTGCAGATTACTATCAAAGTACCCTCCTCACCCCGCCTTCCCATTATAATAATAGAGTACAGCAGAGAAACAACTAGGCAAGATCATAATTTCAGAATAAATTATTCCCCAGAAATTAAATTGAAGGAATGAAATAAAAACATGGAAAAAATAAAACATGTAGAACTTCTGTTTTATCTACATTCATTTTCTTCTCTGGTGCTCTATACTCCAGAAGACTGGAAAAGGTTGTGAATGAACTGGTAGCAGAGCCAAAAGTTCACTAGACTAAAGCAAAAGCCAGATAGCTAGAGATTTTGAGTTCTGCTTTCAATGCTGCCACCACTGGCATGTGTGTAAAGTTCTATTGACATAGGCTACTAAACATATATCAAGATAAAGAATCCACTACAGAGAGCATACACAGAACCCCTTACCCGAGTTCTGTGCAATTTCACATGAGCAATTCCATACACAACAAATGGACAGCAGGAAAGTCACAACAAACAGGATGCTAAGGGAAGTAATGCTAGAAGACTACAACAAATTACTTTTCAAAAAATAAATATGGAAGAAAGCTCTACCTTGAGCTTTGGAACAGCATAGCTACACATTGCCTGTTTTTGAGAACTTTGAGCAAAATTTCAGAATAACCCAATCTGAACAGATGTTTGACAAGCAAAGACAGAAAAAAAGGAATAAAATCAGTCACCCACAGTATACTCATTTTGGAGACATCAGTAGCTGACAAATTTCTTACAGACATCAAAAGAGAAGTAAGATGAAGAGTAGTAGCCTTCTAGATGCACCTGGTGAAGTGGTCTTCACAGTCAAGAACACTAAAAATGGCATATATTTTAATCAGTATTAATCTCTGGCAAGTATCACTGGTCAGAAAGCTCAGGATCTAGCTAAGTTACGTAAGCATACTTCAGTATTGAAGGAACTAGTGTAACTTATAAAATGTTGACTCTTTCAGTAGCTTCTATTAACTCCATCACAAGAACCCAAATGTGCTTTTTTTTGTTTGCTTAGCATGTGGGATTCTGCAAGGTAAGAATTATCAGTGATCCAGATGAACCCAACAGGGCTCTGAGCAACCTGATCTAGTTAGCGGTGTCCCTGCTCACTGCAGGGGGGTTGGACTAGATGACCTCTAGGGGTCCCTTCCAACCCTAAACATTCTATGATTCCATGAACAGATACAAGCTGTGAGATCTACCATCCCTGGTTATGTACTCACTTCCTGAAATGTCTCTGGCTATATCCTCATGCAGGCTACAGCAACCTCACTTAGTCCAGACTGACAGATGATTGCAGCAGTGGTTTATGTCCCTTTATTACTGGGTATGGTGCAGCATGTCAGGACAGATTGACTTCTACTGCTAGGTCAATCAGAGGATGACTTAGAACTGAGCTGTCCCTACTACTCCCTCCAAGGACATCTCTCAGTCCAATCATACTCCTTAGTTAAAATGAGTAGAGATTGGCAAACAAGTTCAAAATAATTTTAGAAAGCAAGAGGAGGGGAGATTATCTTTATCACATTTGGTATTCCCAGTTATATTACAACAGCTACTCCAGTGTGGGTTTTATTTTGTTTTGACCCATCACAACATTTTCTCAGTTGGTTATATTATTTCATTTTGTTAAAAGTAGTATTTCCAGATGATTTTCAGTAATTTGGCATTTTATCATCTACTTCTATCTTGAAAAAACAGTTTTTTTCCTTACAGATCACCGAGCTGCAAATGCAAACCTACTAACTCCCATCTCTCCTTCTTTCTTGCCACTTTCTTCTGTCTTATTAACATCTCACTTAATACTTCCTTCCCTGGTGTTTTTATAAACAGCTGTCCTGGTTTTGGCTGGGATAGAGTTAATTTTCAGTATTTGGTATAATGCTGTTTTGGATTTAGTATGAGAATAATGTTGATAAAACTGGTGGTTTAGTTGTTGCTAAGCTTACACCAGTCAAGGACTTTCCAGCTTCCATTACTTCATCTTCCTCTCCCGCCCACCCTCCCCATGGACAACATCATCATCATCATCCTCCTCCCCATCAAGGGCCACATCACCTGAGAGGACACTCTCCTCAGCTCTACTATTACAGACATCACTGCAACAAGACAAGCATATCAGGAAAGCACTTTCCATTCCAAATAACAGCAGCTGCCTATCACATTCCAGTCCTAAATCAGCAGGATTCTCTCACACCTCCCACTGACAACTTTCCTGAGCTATCCCAAAGCAACCCTCACTCCTCCAGCACTAGTCAAGGTATTCCCTTCACTGCCTCAAGTCTAAAGGAGATGCTAGAAGCTCCGATTTTCCAGACCACCCTACACAATCAAAGTCATGTGAGCAGCTGGGTGGTGCTTAGTTGCCAGCTGTGTTAAACTATGACACCCAGGAAACCCCAAACTTGTTCTTCAAAAAATTTTGCCTTATTTCCACACAGCTTCATGGAAGAAAGTTCTCTTACGTGACCTCAGAGAAAGATCTTCCTGGCTTGAGAGTTGCAGGGCCAATGACAGTTGTACAACATGTGGAGAAGGAGAAAAAGCATACCATTTCTAGGGAGGAAAAACACTGAAAATAATTATTAAGTATTCCACCCTGCCTATTGACCCCAGCTATCTCAGACTGCACCATAACTGAAAGGCTCAAAACTGAGTCCCTCAGATAATGTGAATGGGTACAAATCTCCCCAGCAAACAATGCTCCTTCAGTTCTAATAAAAAAGAAAATTACCTAATACTGAAAAATACCATCTAAAATCTTTCATTTTGTCATCATTCATGATTATAAATTACTTCTCTGAGGAAATCTGACCTAGTGGAAATTTGACTGCCTTCCATAAAAAGTGATCCATAGCACTACAGTTATGATTTATAAAAATTCAAGGAAAATAAACATATGTAAGCATTTTTTTTTCTTGACAGTTACCAAAGTTGGAATTTTTGTTATTACGGTTGTTTGACTGCACAGTAAGCATCCATGAGGCAGACTCTAGCATAAACTGACTAACAGTGGTTGAGTTACCACCATTAACTAGAAAAGGTCTGAGAACAGTTAATGACTTGTAGTGTAACACTGCAGGCTGGCCTGCACAGGTACTTCCATTGCTGCAGTTGCTGATGGCGATATACTAGAAATATTGCATTCAAGGACAGCCCTTTTCAAATAGCTCATAACTGCCCTCCGGGGATGAGAAAAGCAAATGCACGTAATAACTCTTTCATGTAAATGTTTTCTTTATCACTGAACCTCCTGCATTTG